CCGTGACTTGGAATTCCTACCTCTCTCCTGACTATTTTATATGCATATCCAACTGCTGCCGCTTGGCTGTCCACAAACACCTCAAATTCAGCCATCTAACTGAATTCATCATCCAAAACCAACTGCCTGCTTCCTTCTAGTATTCCCTCTACCATCCTCCTGTTGCTCAAGGTAGCGACATAGGGCTGCTTCTCTATCTCCTGCATGTTCTCAGTGAAGCTACAAGTTTTGTGAATCTTACCTCCATAAATCACATGAAACTATGAATTTGTCCTCCTCTAGTTCTAGAACATAGTCCCTCAACTAGACTACTGTACATACCTAGTCACTCAGTCATGTCCGACTCTTTGCGACCCTGTGGACTGTAGCCGGCCAGGCTCCTCTGTCCATAGGATTCTCCAGGCAAGAATACTGGAGTAGGTTGCCATTCTCTTCTCTAGAGGATCTTCCCAACCCAGAGATCAAATCCAGGTTTCCTGAATTGCAGGTGGATTCTTTACCCATTGGAGCCACCAGGGAAGCCTGTAACATTTTCCCAAATGATCATCCTATCTTTGATTTTATTATGGCTCTGCCAACCCCTGATGCCTCATTCACCAGACTGGGGAGTCTTCCATGACTCCGCCAACTGAGTGTTAGGCGCACATTTTATTTCCTTTGCAGTCTCTCCATTTCTCCATCATAATGGTTATCACGTCTTATCTTTTACTGCCCACTTATTTTTCCCTATTTCCCCACCACACATTAAACCTAGTGAGCTTGGGGTCTTACTCACCATGTAATCCCCAGGGTCTAGCACAGTGAAGACTATGCAGAAGGCACTCAGTAAATGCTTCTTAAATATTGCTGTATGTTAGTCAGTTTTTCAGCTTTCTGGTATTTAAACTATAAAACCAGTAGAGAGAAATTATAAACATGTAAATTTCATGATGACAAAGTCTGAATCAGAATTCCTAGATTAAGTTTCTGGCTCTATCATTGCCTTATTGCATACTTTTGACAAAACACAAAATTTTCTCACTATAATGTAATCATATAACACTCATCATTACTGAGTACGCAATAAAAACGACAATAGCGTCTTATATTTAATGGCTTCCAAGTAGTTAGCAACATTTCTTATGAATTATGTATTTGTCCTCCATCCCTCTGGGGCAGACCAGCATCTTTCCTTCTAGAAGGCAATGAAGGGGGAGAGAGTTCCTCCTGTAATGGAATCCGAACCCTAGTCCTGGTTGGTTACCTTCTTCACAGAATGTGAGGAAGATTCATGAAGTTGTCTAAGTCTTTATGCCCAGGAAAATGGGTTATAAAAAGTAGTTTTATACTCTTGTATGTCCAATCTCTTAAGCACTCAAAATCTTTGGGAGTGAAAATGAATACAAATTATTTCAGTATTTCAGCTGATTCCTGGGCTCTTTCTCTATGTTTTTCTGGAGACAGATTTTTTTTTTTTCACACCCACTCAAACCATCTGTGTACCAGGCAAATTTTCTGAGATGCAAACCCAAGTGAAATATGTCCATTCCATTTATTTAGAAAGAACTGTAACTAATGATCCTGTGGAAGAACGGCGTGTGTAATGCTAAAGTGCCCTCTCTGTGTGAACAGCGAGGGCGGCCTCACAGTTCTGGTCACACAAAGCCTGGATGTGCAGACAAGCGCTCAGCACCAGTGCTTTCAGACTCGCCCTCCAAAGACCTCCTGCAGGAAGCAGGGTCAGCCCAGGGTGTGTGTGTGACCTGGGGGTATCCCCCATAAGGTCAGGTTCTCTACCACTATCCAATGGTAACATTTTTTTAAGTTTTGTGCCAGGTTTATATTTTACCCCAAATTATGTCAATATTTGCTTTATTTAAAAACGTTTCAAGTTACTTCCCATTGGGATTCCCTGGCAACCCAGTGGTTGGGACTCCATAGTTCCACTGCAGGAGGCACGGGTTCAATCCCTGGTCAGGGAACTAAGATCCTGCGAGCTCCACAACCAAAAAAAAAAAATTACTATTCATTAAAATTTACTCTCAAGGATGAGGCACCACATTTATTATTATCTTTAAGCTCTCCACAGGACACTCTCATCATGCTCTTTTTAAGCATTATCCCAGTTTGAAAAGCATGGAGTCTACGATATTGTAGCCCAGGCCGTGAGTTTTTTGTTAGAATTCATGAGAATTGTCCACCTGTTTCCTTTCTACTTCACTGCATGTAAGCTCCTGAAGTCCTTTTGGCTAGCTTGCTAATGAAATCTTTTAAATGTTGTTCTAAGCACCTAATTGGCAGCATGTCCACAATTAAGATGATTGAGGAATATAAATCAGCTTCCTCAAACAGAGATGTTCTGTTTGAGAAAAAGGGTCTGTCTGAGATAGGAATCACCTATCCACTTCTCTCTTTAGATCTTAATGGCAACTGGAAACCAAACTAAGTTCTAAAATTTAATGCTTTTTGGTAAGCATTTAGAAAATAAGATCAAACAGCAAGCTGGTCATGCTCAGATATGAGTAAAAAAAAGTGACTTATTTATACATGCAAATTTCAAAACATTTGTAAGATCTACCATGTGTGCTGTTAAAAAGGTTTTTTAATTTTAAATTATTTTTGTTAAATAATCCCGTTTCAAGTGACACTATGATTTATCGCCACTAATCAAGGTTCCGATCCCTCATAGACTTCTTGTTTGTATCTGTTTTTGTTCTTTGTTACATAAATATGAGGTTTATATATAAAATTCTGACTGTGTAATATAGGGCTAATGAGTCACAGATGGAAAAATGCTGGCATGTAACCATCTAATAACATTTTAAACTCATATTCCATAGTAAAACAAAGGCAAATTGTACACATCTGTTTTCCAACTTGTAGCATTGCTGAATTTGTGGAGAGTCTATGTTTAAAGAACTTTTACTTGAGGAGAAGAAAAAGAGGCTACGGGTCACCTTGAAACTACCCAGCCACCTAATAGCCTTATCGGAAAGGATTTGGCAAAAGCGATGAGATGGCCTCGACTTTGCTTCCTCAGAAGTCCCAGCTCTTAAAGAAGGAGAACCAAAGGCATTAGGGCTGAAGAGCTGTCTCAGACTACAAACATAATTTCATTGGCTCTCATAAGAAAAAAAGATTCCTAATAAGGGGAAATAGGGGAGAAAATATACCAAAACTAATAAAATTTAAAAACTAGAAAATTTCTGGCTTTTTCCAAAAATATCCTTAAAATAGATTTGGGTGGGTAGTGGGAAGAGTGAGGAGTAAACACAGGAAGGAATCTTGCAGGCACTCAAGGCCATATATTGTCGTGGTTGTTGTTCACTTTTTGTATAGTAAACGGATTCTGCGTGGGAAAAAAATTTGGAATTCAAGCCTCTGGTATCACATGTCATTGAAAAAGAAATAGAACACAGGCAAAATTTCTCTCTCAGACCTACCCAATTGATAAAGCCTGTGAGGACAAATTAGTACAAGCTAAGTAAAGTTCAGGCCCTTTAAAACATCTCTCCCTCCTTCTCCTCTGTTAAGGAATTCAAAACCACTTTTCTGCTTCAGGGGGGTGTGTGAACTGTCAAGTTCTCTTGGAAAAGTTACGTGACAGAAGCGATTACTGCAGAGTGTGACCATAAATCCCCCTGACATGAAATCTGCATGTTATAAGAGACAGATTTCCATCCACCACCTCTGCAGGAATTCCTGAGACAGGAAAGACCTGAGAGTCATCATATGATCGGAGAGAGAAATTTTGATATGTGGGTGGTAAGACTATATTCTGCGAGGCATACTGCAGTTATTTGGAGGAATACGTCTGATCTGACTGCAAAATTCTGTTCACTGTTGTCCAAAAAAAAGATTTAATACATGTACATCCTGAGTTGTAAACAGAATTCCAGTAGAAGGAAATTACAGTGTTGTGTTCGTAACAGAGTCTGTAGTTATCTCCATTCTGTACTAACATTTTATATGTAAGAGTCCAGAAATCTTGAGGATATACGTGAAATCCCAGTGGACCTGAGTTCTCTAGTCGACCATTCCCTTGAAGGAATGCTTGGCTTGGGGACCTCACATATCTGATTTTGTCCAGGGTGTGTCAAACAAGGCAAGACTTAGAGCCGGGATGGGGTGGCTTTAGGTGCGTGCTTGTTCTGTCCGTCCACCGGTGGAATGTCTGTGTGACGTTTTGTGTCGTGTTGTTTTGGTGCTGTGCCCTGTCCATAGGGTCTGCCAGGCTTCCCCACAGTTGCTGCTCTGCACAGTAACCAGATCCTCACCGTCAAGGTTTGTGGTTGGCACCCATGCCTGCTCAGTCAGAGCCCGCAACCAGCATAAGAGTGAGCAAGAACCGCTCAACTGGCTTGCCGAGTCCAGTCACGCCTTTCATCCCACACAGCAGGTCATTGGGCATCCAGGACCTCACCTCCATCAGCGGGACCAAATGTATATTAAAAAGGAGAACTTTGAGCCTGAAAGAGGGGAGGATACTGAAGTCGAAGAAAGGCAGGCAAGCTCTCATAGGCTGTGCCATGCCTTGGTAGTCTGATTGACATGCATCACCATGCTCTGTGATAGCTTTCAGTACATCAGATAATCCTAAATGCTCTGGACTTTGGGCATCAATAACATGACAGTCGCGTTCACGCCACATTATGCTGGTTGATGAATCTGACGAAAATTGAACTGGCGCTTTGTCTCTGGACTTTCTGCTCAGAGTACAGGTGACTCGAGGTTACCTGCCTCTCTATGTACAATGTTTAAAAAGACCCAACACCCACAGCAAAAAAATAAAGATTCATTTCTAACTAAAAATCTGGTTTCACCGTCCCATTTCAGGGTTATGGTTCTTTCAAGAAGAGCCAGAGAGTCTGATGTCAGACACAAGTACCAGTTCTGTTTTGCTGGATGGTTATTATAAGTCTAATGTGTGTATCTTTATTTCTTTCTTGGGGTCTTCTGATGCCTATTCTTCAACTCTCTCACCTCTGAACTCCAACCTTTGACCTCACCTGACTGATCAGATGGTGTTTCCTAAAATCAATCATGGGTTTCTCTCTGCTGATCAGCAGCTCATTAAACGCCGCCTGATTAAGGTAGTGCTTATTCTTGCTCAAGTTGGATTTCTCCTTTAGATTCGATTTTTACTCTATATACGGTTGCTTAACCATTTATCTTTCATGGATGGGGTGTGGGTGGTGGGTATTTATTTTAAAATATACTAAAGCGAAATTATGTTTCATGAGCTGCATTTGTTTGAAATGTATATGAAAATACCCAAAGCAAAAGGTATAGAAAGCCTATCTAATTTTTTCTTAAATGAAGAAAAAGGAAAACAGCTTAAAAATTATATCCAGCGACAGATCCCGTTTCTAAGCTCTCTAGCTTTGGTAATGTATAAATTATTTCTCAGCATGACTAGAGCCTTGTATGTCTAATTTTGTAAGTTATGAAAAAGTAGATATTTGTCCAATTATAAATGCAGCCATTTTATTAAGCAAGGTGAATATAACCGATGCAGCATTGTCATGGATAAAGTTATGCAGAAGTTTTCTGCCTGCTCTGTTATAATAACATGCACACTCCTTCCAAGAGCTGAGAGTGCCAGTTCGAGCTTTGATTTCAAACAGTGTCTACTCAGCTCACCCAGCATGAATATTTATTTGCTTCCTGCTGGCAGGCAAATTGCCTTCAGGCTTTAGGTTCCTGGTTGTTCGGGTTCTTTTTATAGTATAAACGGGATTAGACAATACAAATTTCAAGTGTTGAAAAGGAGACCTGGGTCTTTATCGCTCACAGTTATTGTTGGTCTGTCCCCTCCTCTACTACAGGGTGACCAAGGTCAGGCTGGGCCGCCAGGCCCGCCAGGCCCCCCGGGCCCAAGAGGGCCGCCTGGGGACACAGGGAAGGATGGCCCCCGCGGAATGCCAGGCGTGCCCGTGAGTTGCTTTTTTGGTTCAGTTGTTCTCACTGGTTTTGTTTCCTTTGAAGCGCTGAGAATTGGGATGGAGTTGGGCCGATGGGGTGGTGGAGGTCAGATGAGTGGAGTGGGCTGAGGGAACTGGGATGATAGGAAAGTCACCGGTCAGAGGAGACTGCCCACAGGAGTCTGCTCTCCACTCAACCCACCGGGCACCCATGCAAACCACAGGAGAGGCCTGGAAACAGCGACTGATCTGGTGTTCAGGTAAGCCTCAAGAAACCTGCGGGTAGAGATGCCTGATCACATGTGTCCTGAGTGCCATAGAGGACCTCACAACCTTTGGTTTAAATGGAAGACTGGCATGAAAAACTAGATGGGAGATACTGGTAACATTTCCAAAGGACCAAAACAGAGACAATAAAGTCCTATGCAATTTACAGAAAGTAAAAGAGGTAAATCATCCTAATATTTAATCCCTTGCAAGTAATTGCTAATAAAACAGTGAAATTAATGGTTAAAACAACAGCATTTACAATCTGAATATCATTTGTCCTTTGTATGTGAAGCTTATGAATAGAAATGACTTAGCCATCTCAACACTTTGATCTAAGTACTAATTTACTAAGTACTTAGTTACTTAGATTGGTGAAATGTCAATAATAAAGTAGCACAAGACATCAGATAAATGATTTAGTTTTGTAGAGGCAAGTCAGCGATTTAAAGAAATACATGGAAAAGGTCAAAAATTTGTACACTTATGACTTTTGGACCAGAAGTTCAGGTTTATTGCTGAATTAAATTATTTATTTAATATATTACTTTAACTTATTTTCATTAGTGTTTTCACAGTACAAAGGTAATAATAAAATATTAATCCACAAAGTAGAAAAATTTGAAAATAAAAGTAACCAAAAAAGAAAAAAGTCTGCCATAGTCATTAATGTTTGGCATATTTAATTTTTATATTCACATATTTTTGTATGTGTTAAGTGACTCTTTTCTTTAAAGAATATAGGGTACCTTAAACCTTTTCTGAGACAACCTCCGCTCCAAAAGCTGCAGTAAATTTATGAATGAAGTTGACTCTCAGCATAATTTTCTGGTTGTTAGGACTGCTTTCACTGGACCATCAGAGGTAGAGGTTTCATCTTAAAACTGTCTTCTAAGGTCTCACTTTTTCTCAGGATGAAACCCCAAAGATAGAGAAAGCCTTAGCTGCTTTACAATATAATCACTCCTACTAGTTTTATTTAGAAAACCTTCTTGGCATAGTTCTTAAATTTCTGCAGTAAGTAACACAGAGTCATCATATTAAATCTTAAAATGTTTACAAATGCATTTGAAGAAAGAACATCAGTACCCTTTATATTTCATTATGTTTGCATTCCTCTCTTTAGCCTGAGAAGTATATATTTACATTCTCAATCCCCAGTGGATATTGTGAAAAAGAAAAAAAAAAGATTGAAATTGGTTTGTACTGTTTACGGCATCAATAAAATTATCATTATTCTTTTTTAAGGGTGAACCAGGGAAACCAGGAGAACAAGGCTTGATGGCAAGTATCTGAATTTATCTTTTTCTGTGTTGAAAAGAATGGAAAGACAAGTTACTCAAAGCTGTGGTCAATACTGTGTGTAACAAATGTATCTATTGTGTAACCTATAACAAAAAGAAGTGAGAATTAGTAAAAGCTAAAACACTGATGATAACTGAACCACTTTGCTATACACCTGAAGCTAACAAAGCATCGTAAGATAACTATACTTCAATTTTTTAAAATGGCAAATGTGTGTGTGTGTGTGTGTGTGTGTGTGCACACATGCACGCGCACGCATGCATGCACACGCACGCTTAGTTATGTTTGACTGTTTGCAACCCCATGGACTGTAACCCACCAGGCTCCTCTGTCCATGGTATTTCTCAGGAAGCAATACTGCAGTGGGTTGCCATTTCCTCCTCCAGGAGATCTTCCTGACCCAGGAATCAAACTTGCATCTCCTGTGTCTCCTGCATTGCAGGCGGAATCTTTCCCCACTGAGTCATTGGGGAAGCCCTGAACTCCTTTAAAATAAACAAGCAAAAAAAGTGATAGACTCTGTTCATCACATGGTAAGGATAGCATGAAAACACATCTGCAAAACTGATACAGGAGGAAAAAAAGAGGGAGATTCCAGGTGAAGCAAGTGACAAAGAACACTGAGGAAGACTTCTATAAGAAAGATGAAATTCAGGGACACGCCTGTTAAACAGAAATGAGACGTCAAAAGAACCAGGTGTGACTTCCCATGAATTAGTAGAGTAAACCTCCCACAGTGATTCAAGGGGGTTTTCTTTTGTTGAAGGGAGAAAGCAGTTGTGCCTTTTTGACCCTGCAAATTGGTAATAAAACAGTAGAGTTAATGGTTAAAACATCAGCAGTTATGGTGTGAATACCATTTGTGCTTCCACCCAGAAACAGTGGTGCCTTCCTAATTTATGACATTAAAAAAGATCATGAAATGATTCCTCTTGGACTTGCCTATAGACACGTGGGTCCCAGCTTCTCAGGTTTGTTTGTCCTTTGCCAGAGATAAAGAATTTGGGGCAGCTTGCTGAGCCCCAAAGAGTAGAATTCCTTCAACTTGCCTCTTCCTGTCTCTTCCTGCCTGTCTCTCTCTGGAGTCGCCTTTCTGATCTACTTTGTGACATAAGCAATATTGGGGAACACAGGGTTATGGACTAATAACCCAAATTCCAGAGGACAACGATGTCTCACACTCGCCCTGGATGCAGTGATGACAATCAACTTGATCATGTCCATTCCACGCGATGTGTGGCATGCAGCCTGCAGGTGTTCAGGATGTAAAATGTATTAAAAAAAAATAGTTAGCTGGGTCGTAGTGAATGCACAGAAACACACTAGTTGGCCAGTAATTAAAACAAATGTGTGCATAGGCTAAAGGTCAAAGGCTTCTCCCTGCACAGGATGCCTTTAGCAGCCCTCCTGGGAAGACACTCAGCAAGCTGTAGTCCTAGCCGTCGTGGAGCTGTCTTCAGAACGTCACTGATGAAGTGGAAGCATCCTGGGACCACACCTGACCCACTGCCTGGAAATTCTCTGTTCCTGACCTATAGTGTCAAGATAGATATTTGATGTGGATGATCAGGCAGAGGGTGCCATTGTGGATTCCTTTTTAAAAACAAGTAAAATGAAAGAAAAGCAACAGCGAAAGAGCGTATGTGAAAATTAAACAAAACATCTGCCATCTGTGGTAACTTTGCATACAAGTGCAGCATTAGCTCTCGGGATTATAGGATCACAGAAGGTGTAGGATCTTTGGAAATCTTTAAGCATTTGAATGCACCTGTAATTTTTATAATGGATAATGGTCAAAACATTTTACTCCCATACACTCTTACATCAAAGGTTACTTGGGATTCTCAGGAGCCCAGGTATGCAGAGTCAACTCAGATTTTTATAATTGCCAGTGATAAATGGTTTTGTACCCCAGTGTCCAAAGCAGCACTGTAATATATAAAGTTCTAAAATAAAAATGGCTGTTTTTAAAATTATAATCTTATCTTCTCTAAATTCATATATGTGCTCTATGATACACTTTGGGAAGAACAACTTAATCCCAATTCCCTACTCTTCCTAGCTTAATGTCGTTAAGTATAAATGTCCCATCTAGTCCTAAATGAATTATATCATTGTCTTAATTTGCCCCAGTTTCCCATTTCATATAGCTACTTTTCAGATAAAGGTGATCCTGGGATATTTTTTCTCAACTTTTTTTTCTCTTTAAACTCTTCAGACTTAGTTCATACTCTCATTTTTAAAAATGCAGCTAAGAAATTCAGTTGAAATCACAAATGTTTGAAGGATGTGTATAATATAGTGATCTTATAAAGTGCATTGCACAGTTCTTAACAATGTAAAATTCTTCTTTTAAAGAAAACTTGTATAATATATATTTTTTAAAGTAGATAAGTATACATCTCAATGAATCTTCACAGTGTACATAACTGTCTAACCACAAACCAGATCAAGAAATAGAATGTCTCATATCCTAGAAACTCTGCCCTGCTTCCCTCACCATCCCCCTCTTCTGCTTTCTGCCAACATAGATTAATTTTGCCTGCATTTGAATTTTACAGTAATAGAATCCTACAATATGTAACTTTTGTGTCTGGA